ATTCATTAAACTACTGGTGCTTAAAAATTGAACTCTTTGTATCCTTGCAACTTTGTAATTTGCATGCACATTTTATCTGCCGACACTTCGTTGAGCTCCATGTGTGAGTATAAAATATTTACGAGCGTTTGCACTTCTTTTCAGCTTTTATGCAAATGTCGCCGCCAACGTAAACTGTATAAAGGCCACATTATTCATTGAAATAATTATACTGAAATTCTAGGACACAAAATGTATTTACATATAATATGGTTAAAGTCACAAAGAAAGCCAACAAATAAATTTCGTTTTTCTAAGTGTTAATGCTGCAATTCTATAGAGAGGTTATTTTTTGTAACTAATGAATTATGCAGTCGAATTATTAACAGCCAGATTAAGATATTAAAAGAACAATGCACTTCTGCAGAAGAAAATGTCATTTGAAGGTAGTTAAAAAAAAAACAACGTGGAGCGAGTATTAATAAAATTTATTATTTCGATCCTTTGCAGATAGTAATGGCGTCGTCATTAGTGGAAACATTTTTATTGCATATGCTGACATAGATACCGTTAATGTGAATGGAGAAGGAAAAAAAGGGTATCATTTGAAAGCTTTGATATACAGTGGGAAGTATTCATTAAGAAAAAGCTTCTACAAAGTCTTTGCTATGTATGTTAATGGGTTATCCTTTTAAAGTAGAAATTGTGGCCACTTTTTCAGTCTACCAGCTGCAACAATTAATGGCTGCGGACAAAAAAAAATGTTTTATGTTACAAAATTATAGAAATTAATATTAAAAAGTATAAAATATGATCTTTACATTAAAATATCTCTACTGATATCAAAACACAATATAACCCGGTATTAATTCTAATATCCCGTTTTCACAAACGATACATTCATGAAAAAAATTTAAATTCCTCCCATTCTTAAACAAGAGACAACAGTATGTTTATATATATTTCGGCAATGGAAGACCTCTGTAAAATCTTACAATATTTTAAAACATCTACTTATGTAGACTTAGAGCGCGCGCACACTTTTGACTAAACTATCGCACAACTGTTTCGCGGTTTGATTCCTATGAGCTTATATGGAGGTGCGCATACTACTCGATTTTTAGTTGTGCAACTAAACAGTTGAATTGGCTGCGAAACAATTGACAATCGCACAACAGTTATGCGATAGTTTAAGTGTGCGCGCTCTAAAAATATTTTTTTTTTTTTTATAATACGAGGTGACAAACGAGCAAGCGGCCACCTAAATCCACCGAAATGGAAAGCGACCGCTGCCCATAAACATCCGCAATTGCAGATGCGTTGCCTACCCTAATTGACGGAGGAGGAGACGCACATAAAGAGGACATTTCCCCTTCCTATGTGTATGTGTCTCCTCCACCGTCAAATCCACTTTTCCCTCCCATCCTTTCCCCTTAAGAAAAGGGTGGAAAGGAAAAGGGACGAAAGTTAGGCCTCCGGCACCACACTCATCAGACGAAACGCGGAATTGCTTCCACTTCACGCCTGTTTTCTGTGTGGTCGTGGTATTACACCGGGCGAGCCGGCCCATTCGTGCGAAGATGTTAAAGCGGGCACTACCACTGTTAAAATTGCATGCTTTTTTACTTAAACTGGAGTAAAATGTACTTTCAATTGTTTTCCTTACATTAATAAAACGTAGTTTTAACAAGTGGCCAGGTTACACTTTCTCTCCTATCGTAATGTAAGAGAATTCTCTCGGTTGGAATCTTTGCACACATTTTTTTCAAGTTTATTGCAGCGTGAAATCCGGACGATAAGGGGCAATTTATATCCACTGCTCCACTCAAACGTATATTTGAAGACATACGCATGTACATGTATGTACGGTCGTCCTTCTTTCCATTACACTCGCTATTTTATGAGTAATAGAATCGAAATGTTCTTTTTATATAGGAGTACATTTTTGTTATATGTTGTATTATGATTTTATATGTTTACAACAGAATGCTGGAAATATCCGAGCATACTAACAAAGTTACGATATACTATAAAGCTGGATTTCAGTTGCGTGTCAGTACTAAAAGATAATCCCAAGTGACAAGATGTCCGAAGTTTACGCTCTAAGAAATTTGTTCCAATTTACCATCGAGTCAGTCCAATATCTTTGTATCAATATTACAAAACGATACTTAAAAAATAGTATTGCACACAGTTCAATAATGGTAATTTTAAATTGTAGATTTCAAATATTAAAATGATACGAAGAGTCTACCTCAAACTCGGTTCAGCAGCTAATTATACAGATACTAGTTTTAAAAAAAAACATTTGCAATCTCATTTATTACTGTTATCTAAAAAACTGTTTACGTTTTTCATCCGTTTTCCGCTTTAAAATAGCAAACAGTTGTTTATAGCAGATAGCAACGTGTTTTAGCGCTTCATAAAACGGTTTCAAGTCAGAGGTGATAAAGTGCGATTTATAGCTTTAACACAAAGCCTTTTGTTTCAAAGTTCGCGGTTAAACTGCAAACGTACTCTATATTTTTCAATCCATAAACCTTTTAACTCTTGTTCACTGAATGCACCGTGAAATGCAGTGATTTCTTCCATCGACAGTGTTGCTATGAAATTTAATTAAATTTAAAAATAGGAAAAAAATTACAATTGAAAAATGTTTTAGTCATATGCAAATTATGGCTTTACAAAATGATATTAAAATATATTAACGTAATCCTCTTTGACGTTTTTTACTTAAACCTAACTTTATTATATTGTTCTCAAACTTATGTTGTTGCATATGTCTTTTATCGGTTTTGTGTAAACTTATTTTTACTTTGTTCCTTTGTAATTCTGTGATAATTTTAGCTGTTGTGTATACTTGTATGTAATTAAATTTATATAGATATCTTTTAAAACATATAAGTTCTTCACAAAATTCATTTTCCGTGTTCAAAAAGACGTATAATATACTCATTATTAACAAAGCTACAATAACAGAGTGTGAAATCAAATTACCGCTCTAATAAACACAATTATCTACCTTTTCATTTCTGAGAAAGTTACGTGTTCCTTGTACCTTTCATGATAAAATTAATTATTACGAAAATGTATGTGTATAAGTATTTCAAATTACATTGAATCTCCTATTTACATAGAGGTTTCTTTACATTAATAAATTAAACAAAATATATGTTTAAAACGAGTTCTAAGCTGTGAGAAAAATCTTACCTAACTCATACTAATACCGATATGATTTTTAGGGCCTGTCCCATCACTGGCTGGTAAAAGCGCAGTTAGCTTAAAAATGACGACACTATCAGATAAAGTAACAAAATCCGATATTTCTATCACATATTTGCACATTGGATTGTGATCAATTTACAATTTAGTGGGACAGGTCTTTAAAATAATATTTGAATAAGATTGTGTTAAAATATTTGTAACGGCGCGAAATTATTGTCAATTTTTAAACGATTGAAATGACTACATTTGGAATTGTTTTGAATTGGTGTGTGAAAAAGACGATCTTGTACGGGGAGGTACGCGCGAGTAAAATAAATAAGAAATAAACCAAAACTAAACAACTTTTTAAAAAAATTTACAAATTAAGAAATATATGTACAATTCAGCCTAGCGTTGTGACATCTAATCCAAGACTACCTCAATTATTTACAAAAGAATTAATAAAAAAAATATACATTCTTATTTTAAAAAAGGATTAAAAATAAAAACACAAAAAGGTTTATTGCATCGCCAACAGTGTGGTAATTAGAGTTTTTTAACGGAAAACCTCGAATGGATTGATAGATGTCAAGGCGGCTATCTAATGACAGCTGACAGTTGCTATTGAATGGTGGTGTGATGCGCTTTGGTTGTGCGCACGTATAAAGTAAATTGGTGAATCTCTATAAATCTTTGTAATCAGATTAGATCGTGTTGTGCAGTTTTTACTAACGTTTGAAGATCTGTGTTTCTAATATTACGCGATTGTTATTTTATTATCAACAGCGCACAGAATGGAGGGTAAGTTACCGTGTCTATTATCTACCTTCGGAAATAACTTCTACAAGCGTCACTCAGGCATATAAAAATCTGTTGTTATAATACTTTTGGTGTTAACTTTTTAATTCGTTTCAAAACAAAGTGTCTATGGAGTGACACATGCAATTATTTCCCTACGGTGAGTGGCGGTGACTCGACTCGAGTTTTGAACAAGTTTAAATTAGCAAATACCTGGTCGGCGTGATTGTTTGCGAAATTGTTGCATACAATTTAACATTCTGAAATAAATATGCCACCTAAACATGAATACTTTGATGGAATTTTTAAGTTATGTACGGTATTTTGAATATAAATTACTGGAGATGTGCTACGATTATTATTGTTCTCAATTCAAAAAAAGGTCAGATTATTTGTATACTTTCAATAACTATTGTTTGAAACAAAAATATAAGTTCAATGTTCATATTGTAAATAACTCTTACAAATGTTACTCTTAAATATCTTTGCAGTTGTGTACTGGGGGAGGTACTTTCGGAAATAGGCAATTAATATACATGTATTCCGTCTCGCTCACTCCCATAAAAATTCATCTCCCCTCAATATATTCCTATGGCCTCGCTCTGAAGATTAATTCTTTCCCTTATTGATGGAGTAATATTTAATTTATATTGATTTACACTGACAATATAATACGTATGTTATCATTACGACTAAGTACACGAGTAAAATTGTTTAGTGTAACCTAATTATTATAAGAGGAAAGATTTATGTTTTTGTATGTTTCGAAATAACTCATACTATTACTGACCAATTAAAAAAAATATTCATCATTAAAAAGCTATTTTCTTGCTGAGTAGGGTATGTTTTTTTTTCTATTTTTTAATTCGACGTAGATGGAGTCGCGAGTTACTTAATAAATTCATAAGTGATAGCTGAAATCAAAGAGTGCTTTGTAAAATTAAACTACTGAAATGCAAGCAACATAAACGTAAAGGTAAGTAAATAAAAGTGTCCAGATGAAATAATAAATATAAGGAAATCATTTGTATTCATTAAATTATGAATTCATTTGCTAACGCAATAAAACAATAATCCACTCAATTTCCAGGTAATCCACAGAGTGACAGCCGGTTCATGCACGTACTTTTGGGACACATACATAATTCAGACTATAGAGATATTGGTAAAATAGGTGAGTACAATTTCCATTGCTGCACTTAACCTTTTTCACATAAACACACACTCAAGTTAAGAAGCAATGTACTCGTCATAGTATTTGACAGCCAGTGGGCATTGATTATCAAGTGATACATGGTGAAGTGGCCTGGGATACAGGGCCGCATCCACTGAGCTGCGGCAGTCGTCTACGGAGCGTAGCAGCGTAGCTTCGCGCGTGCTACGCCTAACCCTCGTAACAAAACACGTGTACTACGGAAAACAAAGTGATTATCAAAAAATATTATTTCTATTTTATAGTGTTAACAGATACTTAGGGGAAATTTAGATTTTTGTGTGATTAGTCTATCTTATAAAATGATTTATATAATTTTATTTTAGGAATTACGACAATTTGTGTATTGTATCATAAATTATTTTTAATGTAAAAATTGAGCAGAAACTGTTCTGTAAAAAAAGTACTACATTTAACGATAGTGTAAAGAAACAAATTGTCCCAGTATTACAATAAAACGATGACAACACACTGAGGAAAGGGATCTTCTCACATCACGAGAACTGTTTAGATTTAATCCGGCTTGTATGTTTGTCTAGGCCAATATTACTGAACGTCTAACGCATATTTATATCAGGAACATTACATTGAAAGTTATTGATGATATTTTAATGTATTAAATTATATTATATTCTTTATAATATCTATTGTATATGTATTATTAATAATAATGAATTAATTTGTACATTTAGTTTGAAAATAATAACTAAAAAGTGACTATAAACTTTTTCCTTATTTTATTATTTTAAAAATTAAATCTTTTCGATATTTAATGCTATTTATATTAGTTGACAAATTAATAACAACTTGGTCAATCAACAAGCTTGGTCATTTTTTGGACAAATAGTAAAATAACGTATCCAGTTAGATTTTTTTTGAGACAATGAGAATGCAATGGAAGGGGGTTTTCAGCGACTACACTACTAAACTGCTTATTCAGTCATAACTTAAGTTTTTATAAGGTTGTACTTCTTTGGTCAAAAATGCAGTTTTATATAGTGATGGATGGTGTCATGCAACACGTAACAAATCAGTATATGTGAAAATCGTATACACTAAAATTATATTTTTAAGATTTAATTTCATTAAATTATTAAATTAAATTAAATATTTATTTTTAGGATGTGGACGTCGATGTGGTTTACAAGTGTTCTCGCAATTTTGGTCGCTGATATAAGAACTGGTGCTATTCAAAACAAAGGTGAGGAATTAAAACTACATTAAGAACGTGCACACATTTGACTGAACACACAACTGGTTAGTCTAGCTTTGATTACTATAAGCTTATATGGAGGTCACACTACTCAATTTTGAACAGTTGAATTGGCTGCGAAACAATCGACAATCGCACAACAGTTTTGCAATAGTATAGTCAAAAGTGTGCTCTCAACAAGGAATACTAACTCTTCCATGTATTACAATTAGATCTTAATTCTGTATTAACTTGATACGTATTATAGGACATCCTTATGCTTATATTTATGTACAAGTATTTTTATCCTCAACAAGCTTTTCCCGTGCGGCTTCATCCGCGTAAAATTATAAAAACTATGTTTTATTGTTTACATTTGTCAAATTCTTAATTGCAAATATCAAAATTACCGTTACCATAATGACTTTCCTTTCTTAATTTTGGCAGCTTGTATTGTATGGTCCCTTCCCCACATTATGGTTTTATCTAATTTATTTAAGCCCTAAGTTAAAAGCGTAAATAGCCTAAAGCTTGACGTAAGTGTAGGGCTTCTTAAAAAAAATATTTAAAAATATGCTGTAATTGCTGACATCTTACGCCACAAATAAGTGTGTGTTTACGCTTAATATTAGTATAGATAAGAGTACAGCAGACAGTATCTCTGAAGTCCTTAGACAGTCTTAATACAGTGCGTCGTTACCAGTAATTGGGTGCCCGTAATGTTTACTGAAGCAAGCTAAACGCGAATGGAAAGCTGCTATCTTTTATTACGTTCCTAGATTAATAAGAAATGATGTTGTTTTTCTTCTAATTACTGGAATTGTTTATATTTGAATTATTAACTATGATAAACTTACGGCTAGCATACTTTTTTAACTGGTATCGGCACCGACTAGGGCCTTTAGGTCTCTTATTCAAGGTTAGAGCCATGACTGCTTAAATATTAGCCCAATTTAAACTCATTTTTATAAAAAAAATCTCCGGACAATTTTTAGTTGATAAAATAAATTGTTACTCGAACTCATTTATTCAATACTTCAAGAGTACTCTTAACTTGCTTTCCAAATGTTGATCTACCTAAAAGTATTATTGAGGGTTTATTTAATGAGCAAGCGAACACAATCAACCTTAAGTTTGTTTTCTCGTAAAATTTGTAGCAAAAACCTTCGCAGGACAATTAAAGAAAGAGGATTACACATTGATATGTTTATTTTATTTTCTTACAAGCATTATTCTTTTATTTGCTCAAATTTTATCTTCATTTCTTTGCTAATGATATTTTTCTACAAGTGTATTAACTTTTGTTATTATTTATTTTATAGACACGACATGTGTGGGATTTAGTAACAGAATCTTTTTTCGATAAATGTTTTAACAACAAATACTTTACTGCTTTAAAAGTTGTTTCAAAATATATTGTTCTCACTGGTAATTTTGAATATAATCATAAGATAAAATGTTTTTTTCGTTCCTTTATTTCGACTGCTGGAAAGCCACTGTTTTGTCTGTTACTTATAATTGCAATTGTTTTTCAAAGTACTGTTTTCACATTTTCATAATAACCAATTTTGTCTAATAGAAGTCGAGGTCCAACGATGCTACCAGTGTCCGGGTGGAAATGCTACTGAGTGCTCTCAACAAAAAGTTGCTATTGCGTGTCCTCCTGAACAACCATACTGCGGTACCGTCGCTGTTGGACCTCGTAAGTTTACTGCTTTAAAACATTTCTACCCTTTTTTCTAGTACGGAGAAGGTTCAAGATTTACCATTATCAGAGAAACTGTTATTACCTTATATAATATTCGTAAGATACGGGTTTCTTACCACGATTGAATTGTTTTAGCTCCCGATATTTCGGCACAGTTGCATGCGCCATGTTCACAGGCTGACTAAAGTGATGCGGTAGTGTGAAAAAAAAATATATATAGTTATTACCTTTCTTACATTTTTCTTCCAAACTATCTGATATTGTACGTATGAGTTAGCGTTGCTCACGACTTCTTCCGCGTTAAATTCAAAAGTAGTAAAAAATGCAGCCTATGTTACTCAATCATAATGTAGCTTTTTAATGGCGAAAGAATTTTTGAAATCGGCTCAGTAGTTTTTGATTTATTTCAATGCATACAAAAGTACAAGTCTTTCCACTTTATAATGTTAGTATAATTTAACTTAGTTCATTAAAAATATCTTTGTTAACGTTGTTAATTAAATGTATTAATTAAAGAAATATTTACAGGTTTTGATTCGATGCTCAAATGTTTGCCCGAATTCAAGAGTTCGTGCTCAATGAAACATAGCTCGAATTCGATATTCGAATTATCCTGCACTTGTTCCGGAGCATTGTGCAATGCACCTTTCACACAAAGCACTCAAAACCGATTGATGGATTTCGCAAAATCCAATACTGTAAACAGTAGTGATGTAACAAAAGAATTCTACGAATATTTCAACATAGAGAATGCTACTGATGCTTACAAAGTGGTAACCAATAAAGAAGTTAAGACTACAACTAATTATGCAACAATATCGACTGTTACGAAATTAAATGATGTATTGATTATAAATGCGAATCATACGAATGAAATCGATCTTCCTCACGCTGAACCATTGAAGCACGAAGCGACTGTCCCTCCTGATGATGATGAAGATGAGACAGAAGGTAGTGGCACGTATGACGACAGTAAAACTCCTAAAAATACAGTATCTGCTCCCGCAGCACCAAGTTCTTTTCTGCCTGCTGAAGAAAATAAAGCTTCCAAAGTCGTAGAAAACATATTATTGATTTTTCTTCTATTTACTTTATTCTAGAATGTAAGTTATAAAATTTAGAAACATTTTCTCACTATAAAATGGATAATTCCTTATTTAATAAAATTTAATATCCATTTGTAGGTGTCCTTGAAAAAAAAAGAAATGGGAACAAAACGAATGCATTTCTTTATACCGCTTTTATTAAATAGATTTAAAAAAAATATAAATTAATCGATAAACCTAGTTAGGCTTTTAATAAATTGTAAATTAAAAACATGTTTTGTAGATTATCGCACCATCCAACTTGTTTAGATTTACTCACTACTTACTAACTACTAACAGAAATATAATAAAATGTACAACCGAGCGATTTGATTGAACATTGGAGAAGAAAATAAGATTTTATTCATCAATTGTATATTTATTACATTTATCTATACTTACAAGTATTAATAAAATATTAAAGTAAAGAAGAAGCTTTATTACGTATCGATTAGAGAATGTTTTTAATATCCAAGAGAATAAAAAACCCATAACCAATAATTTATCATAAATTAAATAATTAGCCCCATCTCAAAATATTATTCTAAGAATTATATAAATATAAACAACAAAATACTTCTATTATTTTATGTAAATGTGTATTATTTATTCCGTTAATATTATTTTTATCGCCTCATAGAACAATTTTAAATCGTTATTTTTTATTTGAAACAAATTATTATTATTTTAAAAACGTAGCCGTATTAAAAACGTACAGAATTAAAATTATTCTAACGAGATTATTTGATGTTTCATTTTCCCGCCTAATAGTAAGATTACTTCTTACTTGTTACTAATATTATAAATACGAAAGTTTAGATGGATGGATGGATGTTTGATACAGTTTGTAGCCTAAACGGCTGAATGGATCTCGATGAAAATTATCATCTATATACAGTATAGTTTGGAAGAATACCAAGGCTACTTGCTTCTTTTTATAAATCTACGGGGACGGAGTCACGGGAGAAAGCTAGTATCTCATATTTGAATAAGTAACTTGTATAGTATCTTGATTTTCATTCCTTATTGTACAAAAACGCGTAAGAAAATTATTCAATGAACGATTAAGCCCAATAAGCGACTTTAAGATCAATCCAATAATTACTAGCTGAATTTCTTTGTATGAGATGGAATATGAAGATAGATCGTCCTTTAAATGACAGGTTTTATGATTGTTACTTGCAATCCTTCGATCGATAATATAAAGCAAAGGGCACCATTAATATATTTACCAAAATAACATAAACAAAGTTTACCGAGATATTAGGGTTAAGCTAATTTATTACATAGTATACTAAAGCTTTTGTTCGCGACATTGTCCATGCGGAAATACTCAAATTATAGTAAAATAATGATTGAAAGCCGCTTACTAGTTTTTTAGTTCTATTCTTAGTAAAAATCTTTCCTCTTTATAATATTAGTATAGATTTTGCATAAACACATTTTATTGTACTGTAAATATAAAGACTGTACATGTTTGTATATTAAGAGCACATAAAAGGTATTTTTCCTCTACTACAATGTGTATTCGTGCACAAAAATACGCGACATAAACTCATTGTGTCTCCATTTTGCTTTCGATTATAAATTTTATCGTCAAGAAAAAGCTTACGGATATAACAACTGTAAAATTGCTCATCTTTATTGCGCGGCAGTGCTTCATTTTACTGCTGGCTGTTAGCTTGGTTTATTTGGGTTTTTCCCCCTTTTTAACGAACAGACGTAAGAGAACATTTAGAAAGAACTCGTTTCAGCAACACGATAAAAGTTCTTTATATTTTTAATCTTGGATAAAGGTTGCGTAGTGTTTGAATTTCTAGTATTCTGAAAGGTAGTGATCACACGTACTCGTCGTCACATTTATTTTATTCAAACATAGGGTAAATTATGTAACAGAATCTTGGTTTTCCAATGTTTGTAGAATTGGTATGGAGTTTTTTTATTGCGGAAAATCTTTTGTAATTTGTATCGAGATTGTGTCAGATTTTATAGAAATACGATTGTTTATGTAATCGCATTATGTACGTTAGGGTAAAAACAGTGGGATTTCGCAAATGTGGTTTATTAAGTATGTAACTCCTTAATTATAAAAAAAATGTTCTCGTAAGTAGGAAGTTACCTAGTTTGAATTAGTTGATACGAATTTTATGCGTATCGGATTTTAAGTTTTACTAATAATCGTTCGTTTCCACTGCCCAAGGTCTTCATGAATATATATTGCTATCTCTATTTATTCCTAGTGAATGAGTAGGATAGCGAGTACAGGTAAGGAAGTAAATAGAAATTGTAAGACAATGTTTAGTTTGACACAAGTTTAGATTGTTACCAGCATGTTTGGTTGCTTGTCTATACCCACTTTAAAGATTGTAAAGTGTCGGTGGCGCGAGACAAAGGCTTTGAACACGCCTTGTTTCAGCAACTCTTGTGCGGTTAGAGTGTAACTTGACACAATTACGAAATTTTCACTTCGTAAGAACAATGTTCTTAGAAAACTTCACCTCATTAAATAGCTTCGTAAATTGTATATTTTTTTTACACAATCTAATTTCGAAGAGGTGAAATGATGATAAAGAAGATATTAAAATAATTAATTAGGTATTTCACAAAAGGGATTAAGTAATGTACATTTATATGCTAAAGCTACGCTAAAGGAAGCCCTTCGTAACCATTGAATGACTGTAAATGACAGTTACATTTTTTAGTAATTAACTAAATTACAATTTGAAACAACATAATTCACAAACATTTATCTTTCTCAAACTTCGATCATTAGATTATTAGTTCGCTAGACATTGTGTTCACTCGACAAACAAACGAATCATTTCGTTTTTATATCAATATGAACGTGCATTGGGATCGTATAATTGTATTAGCTCCCCCTTTCAACCATTAGGCGTCTAGACGCACAAGCTTTTAATGTAAATGTGACTCATATTCTTCTTTTTCAGTTTCGTACATGATGGTACTTTCCTACTTTAGTAGCGCCATCACAACAGCAATTTCATCAAGAAATACTAAAAATATTTTTTTTAAATCATGTAACATTGTCTACACATATTAGATAGATTTACGTTGGTTTCTTTTTTTTTTATAATGTAAATACTCGTAATACTAAAACAAATTTAAACTCAAATACATAACAATTTATACGTAGTGTCTTGGAGCAAAAGTTAATTAAGTGTACTTAACATGTCAGATAAGTTAAACTTTGTGTAAACGTAGTTTAATTTTCTTAACCTTTAGTTTGAATCGATATTGAATAAACTATTTCGTATTATTTGACAGCATTTCGTTCCACAAGTTCATTCAAGTTCAACATTCCAAGTTCCACAAATATTACAAAATTTACAAGTTTAGTAATTTCTTAACAAGTTTTTCGTTTACAACGTAAACTAAAAGAAAATTCAATAAAGCCTTGACATAACTTGTTTTGTGAGAAAAACTTCAAAACATTTGCGGCTTATAACGTTATTCCAGTTAAACTTTATTAATCTCAACTTTTATTTGTTTTGTTACAATTGATGTTTATATTTTTGTTAACATATTTCTAAAGTTATTTCTCTTATTTTTATACCAGAATGGTCTGCAACATATATTACTTTTGACGAGTTTTGGAGAGAAATATCTTTGTGTTTTAAATGACATCAACTTGAAGTGTTAATGGGGGCGAATATTAAAATATTCGCCTGCTTAAATATTGAATGTAATCAATGTTACTTGGAGCAACCAGAGACGAGGTCATGACCTAAATAAGTGTTATGAAAAAATTAACATGCTTATAAATAGAACACTTTTCTATATTTTAAAAATAATTGATTACGTTATGAGATTAGTGACAGCGGGTTTCAAACAAGGTATTGTAGCAAACCTAACACTATAAAATTATTTATAAGTTACGTTTAAAAAATAAATGCTGTTTAAAAAAAGCGAGCAGATTTAAGGATAATAAAAAATTTAAGCGGTTGAACATCCTTTGTTTTTAAACCTTTTTTTCAGAATCTCTTTTGACTTCTGATATAACTCTCATATTGCAGCGAGTTTGATCGGCGGCGGGTTCCGTTGCAATCTATCAACATGCAGATGCGATCCATCTTTTCAACGGAACCGGACGTTGGGATAATTGGAATCATCTATCTCGACTGAGGAGTTTCAATAAATCGCACCCTAAAAAAGCTGCATGTAAATGTAAACAAGAAGCTTTTGAATAGCCATCAGAAAAAAATTGTATCTATAGAAAATTTGCTTAGCTTTTGATTCAATTGTTTTTGATGCAAGCTTGTATTGTAAGCGGTGCATATTTATTAAATACTTGGTCACTTGTTGCTTCCATATTTGAGAAAAGTAACTAACTTATGGTTTTTGTTGTAAATGAAACCTATTTGATGTTTTGCAGTGTAAGACTGGCCGTATTTAAATAATGACATAAGTTAATTTAATTTTGAGTTGTTCGAATGTAGAGAAAAAGAACATGTCTAGAATAGTATAAAAATAATATCTTGTTTTTATACACAGTTGTATTGATATTAGTTTATATGAGAATAAATAACAATCTTTATTTATTTAATCATTTTTGTGTGCTGGCTAAACCAAATTCCTATCAGTTTTACTGCACAAAATCATTTTTAAGAATAATGAGTCGTATTCTAACCTTTAATCTGAGTAATATTAAATCATTATAAAGGCGTCAATGAAAACAGAACTTAATATGCTTACTTTAACTTAAACAAAAACAAAGTTAACGATTGTTTAACTTTTGTTTGCTACTTTAAATTGGGTTCGGGAAAAAGTGGACGTTTCTGCTGGCTAGATAATTTTGTTATTGCCGTTTCGTTCTGTTTATTTTGACTTGTTATGATATTTTTGGTAAATCGAATATTTTTGCTATCGTCTGTAAAATAAACATTAATAAATGTTTAGTTCCGGGGATTTAGAAAGAAATTCTAGACTAATTAACAAACAATAAAAAAGGTTTCAAATTAAAAAGT